GGTACACTTATTTCCATGTCCTCAGCTGTGAATTCAGATAATGACCTCCCTTCCACATTCCTCAGTGTTTTCCTTTTATGTTAGATCTTCTTCAGTGGTAGGAATAGAACCTAAAGCACACTAACAGAAAAAGAAGTCCAGGAAGACAGCTCAGTTCAGGGACTCAAGTTTGTGTAAAAGCAGAGACTCTAAGGTTCTGTCTCTACCTTTCCTTCTCTCTCCTTTGCCTCTCTTGGCTTGACTTGATTCTTCAGGTAAGACTGTCACTGCATAATGTGCTCTATGGCTTCTGAAAAATACAACTCAATCCCAGTAGTTCAACAACAACTGTAGTAAAAAGGTGGTATGTTGATGGCTACAATAACCTCATTAGTTTTCAGAAGCCATGCCCTCTTCTTTGGGTTTGCCCTGGAGTCTGGGGTTTATGTAGCCCAGGAAATTAGGGAAGGGACTCAGCTCTTTGGTCTACACCAGTGGCTGGTTCCTTCTCCAAGTGCTGGCTTGCCCAGGTTCCAGAGGTTGATTCAAAGGTGAACAGCTCGCAGGCCAAACCCAAGCCACTGACAGCTTTACTAGGTTTCCAAGCTCTGCAGCCAAATGCTTCAAATCCACTCCCCTCCCTGTCTTCCAACCCAGCCATCCCTGACTCAAAGTTTCTGTTCACAGGGTTATTTGGCAGTGGATTCCTGATTCCCTAGTCTGCAGCAACTCCATTTGCACACCCATCTTGTCCTTTCTCCTTAGGGAAGTATCTCTCCAGAACTCCCTTCCACCCCAGTCCCTGCCCACACTGGGGGGGTCAGCCTCCCTCAACCCCAGAACAAGAACCAGCCTTTCCCTTCCCCTTTCCCTGACAATGGTCCTCATGGGAAAATTCAGAAAAGCTCAGTTAGTAGGCTCCAGATCACAGAAGATTCTGCTTTTCCTACAGTATCTAGAAATGCAATAGCCATTTAGAAATGCATTTAGAATGGTAATAGCAGAGTCTTCCCTCACCAAAATAGGCAGAGTACTGTACTTTTTCTAAAGAAATTGAAAGCAGTTTGGTTGATTTTTCCTACTATGTTGCACTAAATTCTCAGCAGCTCACCCTGTTACCCTTGAACCATGCCCATGCAATGGTAAGCCCCAAAAAGATTTTAAAAGTGTAGTGCAGGATTAACTTCTCTGGAGAAGACATACATTACCCCCAGCCTACAGTAGAGGGAGCCAGTGGGCACTGGTGGCATGGGTATCAGATGGAAGGTCATTACAATAGTTCTAGAGAGAGATGTCAGGGGAGTGGAGGGTATTGAACCAAGTGAGTAGCAGGAAGAATTGAAAGAGTTTAGATTCAGAAAACATACTGGGAAAGAGTTTTTAAAGGCAATAGAATGTAGTGTGGTTAGGAGGAGAGACTAGGGGATGAGGTGAGGATGACATCGAGGTTTCTGGCTTGGGCCACAGGTGGATGGTGAAATTGAAACAGGAAGCCGAGCAAGTCCGGGGAAAGGTGTGCATGTGGGAGGAAGATAAAGGAGCTGTTTAGAACATGAGTTAAAGATAAGTTTCAGGGTCTGGAACCCAACACGACAATTAGCTATTGAACACCGAAATAATTTACCAACACAATTGGGACTAGAGCCTTCTTTAGAAGCGATACTTAAATTATGCTGATTTCGTTCCACAGTTACTGTTTACTTAGGTTTTCTATTTCTTGCTGTGTCAGTTTTAATAATCCTTCCTTAAATGTTTATTCCTATGTATTGAAATTTCTAGCAATTCGAGCATGATTTGATAATCTCAAACTTTATACACTTGATATATTCATTTTCTTTTTTACATTTTTTTTCTCCTTTCTCAATTGGATTTGTTTCTGATCCTTAGAAGAGACACTTCTGGATTTATCACTTCCATTAATTTTCTCAGGTGTCACGGCTAAAGAAACAAAAATAGGGAAGCAATGCTCTACATTTAATTCTCCCCTTCCTAAATCACATGGAATATGAGTTTTTTTCCTCTTAATCCCAGAAAAGTACACTCTAAGATACAAATCTATGGAAATAATCGTTAGTTTCCAAAAGGTATCACTATCTTGCAAATAGCAGGATGTAGATAAAGGAAAAGTCATGCTCCTATCTCCAACAGGCTTAAGTATTCCAAAATATCAAAGGTACTCTTCTATTTCACGGCACAACATTAGCTCCTTGGCAGAAAGCTGCACATGAGCTCAGGTTGCACAGAGAGCTGACATGTTCTGTTGGATGAACTTGTTGTACTGGAATAGCTGATAAACAAGAGCTATCTCTTGAACTTAAAAAAATGATGAAGAAGAAAGTCACCAGTATAGTACAGTGAAAGGAATATTATTTTCTGCTCACTGCAGGAGACCATATTTTTTCAGGGAAGTTGAGTATAAATATACTGGAAGGTCCTCTTGTGAGAGGAAATAGAAGTGTAGACGTGGCTTTCCAGAGAGACTGACCCAGGTTCCTGTCCTGACTCTGCTATTTACTGTGATCACAGCCCCTCTAAGCCTTGCTCCTCAACTCTACTATGAGGATAATACTATTCACTTCAGAGAGGGGTTGTGAAATTTAAATAAGTTAAAATATGTAAACAGGTGACATATGGACAGTGTTCAGTTGATGTGAGCTCTTTCTCCCCCATCTCTTCTGAATTAGAAATAAGAAAATACTCAACCACTCCGGGCACCGTGAGTGACGCCATCTTCTTGCTCACCCCTCAGGATAATCCATCACCCAATCTTATTGATGTCTTCCTCCTAAGCAACTCAAATTTCTACCTCTCTCCAACCAATAGATTAGCTATGCCATCAGTTCCGATTTCCAACACTGTGAGACTGACCACGTCAGGCCTGCTCTAATCCTAACGTGATGGTAAGAAAGAGTTCGGGATTATAAAGTCAGGGCAGAGGAATGATTCCCGCACCTGGAGGAGGTGGACCCTTCCTTGGGTACTGATGTGGGCCACGCTTTTGGGCTCCTCTCTCCCGAAGGCTCTCTCCCTCCATATCCCCTGAACGTGGTGGGTGCATTCCTGAGGAACTAGAGGGCCACCTCAGAGCTACATCCACTGACTTGTATCCTTTGCACTGTTTCTTTGCTAAATTCTTCAGCACACCCAAGCGAAGGCCACTTAAAACTAAGTCCAAATCTTTATTCTCTTCTAGTCCTCTAACTCAGACCCGGACTTTGTGGATTAGCCAAAATGATCATATAGTTCACATTATTACAACAGGTTTCTCATTTGTCTCTTTGCCTCTCATATTAATTACGTCATTCTGAAAATGAACTTCTTTAGGTTCATTTTCAGCTCCCACTGTCCTGTGTCTTTAACTCTCTACTCCAGCCAGATTAACCATCTGCACAGAGCTTTTGCTTCCAAGCAGTTGAACATCTCAGTTTCATGAGCTGGTCTGTCCTTGACCTTGCTCTTCAAGAGGAAGCTCAGAATCAACTGCTCTGGGAAGTCTTCTCTGGTGCCACCAGGCTGCATTAGGGGTCCCTCCTCTCTGCTGTGCCCTCTGTGCTCACCCACTTGCCCCTGCCATAGCCTCACCACCGACACTGGAGTTACTTGCTTTGTTCTGTGTTTTACACCATTCTGGGAGCACCCTAGGAGCAGTGACTTTAAGCAGGGCTTACAACATAGTGGGCACTTAATGTTGCTGAATGTCTGAATAAGTGAAATGAATGATGAACAAAAGAACTGGTTTTTTTATCGTATGCACCCTATGGACCATGTAGTTTATTTTGTTTTCCATTTAACCTTGACTGATAGGTGAAGTATTAATACTATCAGGAGTATATGGCACATATTCAAATTATTAGGGCTACCCCTGGATTTTCACATCCTTTCTCTTTTCCACTCCACTCCAACTTCTTCACCGATACTGTAGTATCAGTACATTTTTGGAACTAAGTGGGAGTGGTGAAATATTTAAAAACTGAACGAATCTGTTTTATCATTGTGAAAAAGCATCTGCCATCAATGCCTTGTCTCGCCAAGTACCTGAGGACCAACTGCCTCCCAAACCCATGCTCTTATACATACTTTATGAATGAGAAAATGTTACGTAAATATTACTCATGACTTTTCCCAACTGGCAAAATCCTGCTCTTTCTTTATGACACATCTCAAAAGTCAACTTCTCTGACACCCGTTGCCAAACTCCTTCTGCAGCCCTCTCATCTTTTTTCTTGGGCCACTGGCATTGTTATATATTTGATTTCCCTATTAATTTAACTGACATACTCATTTTCGTATCTCCAGTGGCTTATCTCAGTTGTGAACAGCTAGGAGTTTTCAATATAGGATTTTGGAATTAATTAATTAGTGAAAAAATTAATTATATAGAGAGGAAGGCTGATGATAACAGGAGAATGGATGAATGAAATTACAGGAACAGGAGCCTTATTAGGGCTGGAGCTTTCTGAAATGGGTGATTTGATTTAGTGCTCTAGTGGTAACACCTACACAGTAATGATATGCATAAGATGTATGCTTGAATTCTTGAGACCTAACCTGCCACAACTACTATTTCAATCCAAGAATTTATTTTGTTTCCTTCATGCTAATCACTAGGCTATCATTATTTGCAGAAGGGGTCATTTAATAAGTGGTTATTGGTGGCTGTATCCCTAATACTTAGCACAGTGGCTGGGACATAATAGGTCCTCAGTAAATATAAAGGAGTAGAATCGTGTGAGGGGAGGGAGTGGAGGAGAAGAACGCGAGATGACACCCAAGAACACCGGGGGCTGAGCAGCTGGGCGAGGGCGCCCTCCTTTAAGGCATTTTTAAAAGGTCGATTCCAGGCGATCTGACCCCCAAACTCGGCGCGAGAAGCAAGTTGGGGGAAGGCGTGTCAGGAGCAGCCCTGGGGCTCCAGCCCACCCTTGACAGAGGGCGATAGGGCTGGGGGTGAAATGCTCAAGTCGAAGAGGAAAAGGAGCCAGTGTTTAGTTAGGTGTCAAAGTACTTAAGAAATTACTCACCCGCGTGGCCAAGTCCAGGCACCGGCTGTTATCTCAACTGCCCTTTAAACGCTTTTCTCGGTGGCTTTCGTTCTTTGAGGATTATTGAACAATTCGGACCCACAGGTGCCCGCTGTTCTGAGAAAACTTTGTGTCAAAAAATACACAAAGTGAAGCAAATCCTCATTTGTTGTTAAACCTCCAGTCTTTTGAGAGGTCCTTTTCCTGAAACAGAAGACTGAAGGTTGACATACGCCTCCATTTAGAGGTCCTAAATGGAGCGGGGGATTCTCCTGCTTAACCCGGGTCACGCCCAACTCTGGTGCAGACCAACTGAAGAAACCTTGATAGTTCCGCCCGCCCGCCCTCCTCTCCTCGTTCCCTTCTCTCTCCTTGTCTGCGCCCTCTTCTTACAGTTAGTACAAGTGTAATTATGACTTAGATCGTACCCTTCGGTCTTCTTTTTGACAGTTCTCAAATTTCACCATTTATTTAATTGGAGGGGGAGGGTCTTGAAAATAACGCAACTTTAACACCTTTTATAGTTTTAAAAACATCTTTCTTCCATATTTTGACTTCAGTTTTATCAAATGCCAGTCAGAGCGGAGTGAAGACTGGCTAGGGGGAACCTCGTCAGCTCTTTGCGGTTTAGAGGAGAGGCAAGACAGATCTCGCCCGCACGTGGAGACCCGGCCCCACGAGGCAGCGTGGGCCTCGCCCTCACGTGGAAACCCCGCCCCCACAAGGCAGCGCTCGCCTCGCCCTCACGTGGAGTCCCCACCTCACTGAGCAGCGCGCGCCTCGCCCTCACGTGGACACCGCACCTCGCTGAGCAGCGCGCGCCTCGCCCTCACGTGGAGACCCCGCCCCACGAGACAGCGTGGGCCTCGCCCTCACGTGGAAACCCCGCCCCACAAGGCAGCGCTCGCCTCGCCCTCACGTGGAGCCCCCCCTCACTGAGCAGCGCGCGCCAAGCACTCCCGGGGAGACCCCGCCCCACAGGGCAGCGTGCGCCTTACCCTGACGTGGAGGCCCCGCCCCACAAGGCAGCGTTCGCCTGTCCTCACGTGGAGACCGCACCTCACTGAGCAGCGCTCGCCTCGCCCTCACGTGGAGACCCCGCCCCACGGGGCAGCGTGCGCCTTACCCTCACGTGGAGGCCCCGCCCCACAAGGCAGCGCTCGCCTCGCCCTTACGTGAAGACCCCACCTCACTGAGCAGCGCGCGTCTCGCGCTCACGGGGAGACCCCCCGCCCCACAGGGCAGCGTGCGCCTTACCCTCACGTGGAGGCCCCGCCCCATAAGGCGGTGCGCGCCTTACCCTCACCTGGAGACTCCACCTCACTGAGCAGCGCGCGTCTCGCGCTCACGGGGAGACCCCGCCCCACGGGGCAGCCTCACGTGGAGACTGCGCCTCACTGAGCAGCGCGCGCCTAGCCCGCAGAGGAGCGCTTGGGGCCGCGGAATCCGTGTTTATCCTGACAGGGGCTCCCCCGTGTGGCTCCTGTGGACTGTGAAGTCTGTGACTTGAATGTTTATACTTCAATTCTCTTTTGAGGATGGAAGAAGTTCAGGGTCTTGCCCTCCGGAGCAGAGGAGATACTCTTGTTTTCTTTTTAGCACATTTTTGTCTCTCTCAGAGTAGAAAAAGTTTCCAGGTTTTCTCAGACTAACATGGACTCTGGCAGAGGAATTCAGTAACATCCAGTTTCGAGTAACTGAACTGCCTGGGGAAGCATTTGGGGTAGAATTACCGCAGGAAACCCCAAGGCTGCTGTCACGCGGATGAGGGAAAGGGGAGGTTAAGACCTCGATTAACTGAATACCCACTAGGTGCCAGGCATTTTACGTCATTATTTAATCTTAGAATATCTTAAGTAGGAATTATCCCCATTTTTTAAATTGAAGTATAGTTGATTTACAATTTTAGTTTCAGGTGTACTACAGCATTGTGATTTGGTATTTTTACAGATTATACACCATTAAAAGTTATTACAAGATAATGGCTATAATTCCCTGTGCTGTACAATATATCCTTGTTGTTTATACATTAAAAAAATACGGCGTTTTCCTGACATCCTTGCACAGGGGCCATGCTAATCTTCTCTGTATCCGTCCAATCTCAGTATATGTGCTGCCAAAGTGAACACTGCCATCCCCATTTTATAGACAAGGAAGAAGATCCTCAGAGGCACAAGGTCTCAAAATGATGTAGCGAGGCTCCAAACTGTGACCTAAGTCCAGAGCTTTGCACTAATCAGACCACTTACAAGAAGGCAGCATTTCCTGCTCAACAACCTCTCCTTAGAGATGTCACATTCCAGAGAAATTTCCTTATGTTGCAACTCCAATATCCTTATATCTGTATGGCTCATCTGAGTTATATGTGAGTGTGTCACTTCTGCCTCTGCATTTGTAAAGTGTGTTGCGTTTGCAGATTTCATCTCAAGAATAGTTTTTATGAGTTTTTTTATTTCAGTTTTACTGATGTATAATTGACAACTAAAATTGCAAGATATCTCAAACGTACACAGTGATGATAAACATTGTGAAGGGATTCTCCCCAACTAGTTAATACATCCATTATTATTATTATTATTATGAGTTAATTCATAAAATAAAGTGAGGCCAAGGGAGATGAAGTGACATGCTTAAAATTATTACAACTAGCAAATGGATTTCGTTAAGTCTAGTGATGTGAAAGCCATTTTGATTCTCATATCAGGCTGTCTTACATCTGATTTATAGAGTAGATTTTTAAACATTTGTCAAGTGAGAGCATCACTAAGTTTCCTCCTAACCCTCCAGTTCTGGGAGTTCTGATTTTCTGATTCTTAAGGACTTTCACGTCTTGTCTCCCCTTATCTTCAATGCTCTCGTCAGGGGATGCTAAGGCCATAGAGAGGTTTAAGACTTGCCCTTGGTCACACAGACGGCCTCTGCCCCACCCAAGCCTGGCATACAGACTCTCTGACTTGTAGCCTTGCGCTGTGGGGTAGGCATTAGGATTTATTTGGCCTCAGTTTGCCTCTTTTCTTTGATGAGTGCTTATAATTTCCTTCTTTTCTTGTCTTGTTTTAGAGGGGCTAACCCCATCCTGGCTTTTGGGGTAGACACCTGACTCTGGCCTGGCTACTCAAAGTGATTGTTACAAAAACAAGCTTATGATCCAAACTGAGCCAATGGCAGGCAGCTGTAGGTTTCACTAGCACCTTTGGGTGAAAAGTGTGTCTTTCACCTGGGCTTGCAAAAGGGGTTTTTATGGACTGAATGCCTGTGCCTCCCCCAAAATTCATATGATGGAGCCCTAACTTCCAGTGTATTTGGAGATTGGGCCTTTAGGGAAGTAACTAAGTTTAAAAACGAGGTCATAAAGGTGGACATCAAATCCTATAGGATTAGGGTCCTTGTGAGAAGAAGAGACACCAAAATGTGTTATTCCCCCCAGCCCCCAACACATGCACATACTGAGGAAAGGCCATGGGAGGACACAGAGAGGAAGTGACCATCTGTAAGCCAGGGAGAGAGTCCTTACCTGAACTGAATCCTGCTGAAGCGTTTCTCTGTGACTTCCCAACCTCCAGAACCATGAGAAATAAATCTCTGTTGTTTAAGCCACTCAGCCTATGGTGTTTTGTTATGGCAGCCTGAACTGGGTAACATAGTGGTAAAAGACCATCGGGGAGCCACTGGTCATCATCTCTGCCGCCAAGTGAGAAGGCCAACAGAGGGAGGAAGAGCTGTGAACGGGAGAGAGACTGGGTCTGGACCCTAGACTGTTCAGTATGTGAGCCACTATCTTTGTTTAAACAGCTGTATTGAGGCATAATTCAGATACCATACAATTCACCCATTTCGAGCATGTAATTCAGTGGATTTTTGTACACTGAGAGATATGTGCAACCATCACCAGAGTCAATTTTAGAATATTTTCATCACTTCAAAAAGAAACCCCATCCCCTTTAGTTATCACACCCCTTCTCCCCAGTCCTAAGAAACCATGAATCCTTTCTGTCTCTGTAGAATTGCCCATTATGATCATTTCATATAAATGGAATCATACAATATATGGTATTTTGTGTCTTCTCACTTAGCATAATGTTTCCAAGGTTAATTCATGTTATGGCATGTATAATTTCTTTCCATGGTGAAATAATATTCTGTTGTACACATATACCACATTTTGTTAACCCACTCATCAGTTGATGGATATTTGCGTTATCAGCTTTTGCTTATTATAAATTATGTTTCTATAAACATTCATGTGCAAGTTTTGGGGTAGACTTATGTTTTCATTTATTTTGAGTATATATACCTAGGAGTGGAACAGCTGGGTTATATGATAACACTGTTTAATTGTTTGAGGAACTGCCAAACTGTTTTCCAAAGTGGCCACACTGTTTTACATTCTATCAGCAGTGAGTGTTCTCATTTCTTTGCCAACACTTATTATCATCTGACTTTTAAATTCTAGCCATACGAGTGGGTGTGTGAAGTAATATCTCATTGTGGTTTTGATTTGCATTTCTCTGGTGAATAATGATTTGCATTTCTCTGGTGAATAATGATGTCAAGCATCTTTCCTTGTGTTTATTGGCCACTATATATCTTTCTAGGAGAAATATCTACTTGGATCCTTTGCCCATTTTTAAATTGAAGTATTTGCCTTTTTATGTTTGAGTTGTAAGAGTGTTTATATATCTTAGATACAAGTCCCTTATCAGATATAATAATACTGAAAAAGTTTGAAATATTGCAAGTTACTGAAATATGACACAGAGACACAAAGTGAGCAAATGCTGTTGGAAAAATAGCACCAATAGACTTGTTTAACTCAGTGTTGCCACAAACCTTCAATTTGTAAAAAGTGCAGTACGTGCAAAGTGCAATAAGGTGAAGCATGATAAGACAAGGTATGCCAGTATTTGAAATTCAGTTCATTTTTGCATATTGAACCAATATATTTTTGTTAACCTTAATCCTGCTTAAATTGTACTTTTAGTACTTGGAACTGGAAGAACGCTAACCAGTATTTTTCTCTAGACTTCACCATAACTGGCTTCCCCAAAGGTTGGGATTTAGAAATATATTTAAGCTTTTACATGACCTTATTTGATCCCTGCTCACCTTGGGAGGTGTGCATAGTGGATACTTTCATCTGCATTTCAGAGGTAAGGAAACTGAGGCTTGAAAGGCTAAATGACTAATCCAGACTTCAGCTTAGTAAAGGGGCATATCTGGAACCAGGAGATGATTAAATTCTAGTGCCCACCCTAAGGAAAAGTGATTACTTGTCAACCACAGAAACTTTTTTTTAAAGTCATAATTCCAAAAAGTATGGAAAATAAAATCTCAGCCCCCCCCCCCAAATGGTTTGGAACATTTGTGGTAGATAATTTACTATCTTAGGAACTATACAAACTCTTTAAACTGCAAGGCCAACATCTAAGGAGGCCAATTTGGCATTCCATTTGTAAAAGAAACATAATTATAATGGAAGTTGAAGCAAAGGAAATTAAGTAGAGTGTGTGCTGTACTTGGCATGTATCTAAACACCAAGTTAGGGCCAGTGAGGAAGGTCCATTACTTGGCTTGAGTGTTGAAAAATTTCTTTGTAATTGCTCTCCACTGTAGGTCATTATTTTTTTACTTAAAAACTGTTTCAACCACGTTTTCACACGTCAGTAGGGTGCCGACAAACATATACATTAATAATGTCAACTTAAAAGGAAGAATTATTTCAAAATTCTCCATCTTACTCTAAACTGAGTCAAAATCAAATAGCTCCACTTAAAAGATAAATGCATTTTCTTTTCATCTTTATTCATCTGTGCATTCATCTGTGCAAGTTGGATAGTGATGGAAAGTGAGTAGGCAGTGCCAACAGTACTGTTTTGGTCGTCAAATCTCCTGTTAAGGGCATGGTTCACAACTGGCATGCAGTCCACTTGTGGCTCACCCAAAGGAGTGGTAGTGATGGAGGTGGAGAGCTGTAATCTGTTTTATAATAATTTGTAGTAGGAAGGGGTTAGGAAATTCCTCATTCATTAGAGTCCTCCCCTATTACAACTAAAAGTATTTTCTAATGACTCCATCTCTATTTGAGAACTAAAAATCCTGTTTATGAGTACGGATTATTGCATATGAAGATTACAAAGAAGAAAGTTTTTTGTATTATTTAGAAATATGTGTAGATACATGTTCATCTATGAACCATTTAGGATGATGGC